ACACATCAGCCAAAAATCCTGGCTCTTATGCTTCATTTGTTATCACAGCCACAGACTAGGAAGTTCACATCTGATGCTTTATGCATAAATATAATCTACCCACACTGCAAAACACATTGGGATACAGTCAGCCTTAACTGAGGTATGTAACTTACACGGATTTCCCTTCCCTTAAGACAGAAGAGCACATCCCTTGTACAAAATAAAAACTACCGCAGAACTTAAAACTTAAGAATTTAAAAGTTTTTATCTAAATTCCAAGTCAAGCTGCAAGCAAGATGTAGATTATGATCTAATGATTAAGACATATCTACAGTTGGGCTAATGAGCCTATCATTTTCAGAAAGCGTTATTTTTTAAAATAAAAACAAAGCCATCTTATTTCTGCAACAGAACAAATCCACTGACAGGAGGGGTCTTTTAAACCAATAGTGAGCAGCAAACTGTAAGGAGTTCATCTTTTCCACGTCTACTGAAACAAACCAGAACTATGGTGGCTCTCCTGTTTCCCCACTCCTCCCACACATGAGCGCAATTGGTGTTGTGGAATTATTTGATCTTCAATCTTTTTCTGTCTTACGACAACCATGACAGGTGCAGAACCCCAAATTTTTATTGTTATTGGGAGACAGAACTCATGTCTCCTTCACACGGTGTCTCCTGCTGGTATCTACTTTTTTTTCCCCCGAGCTTTCAGCAGTCACGGGTGCTATTCATAGCGAAAGCCACAGCGGAGTCTTTCAAGGCCGCTGGCAGTTGTGGTTACTGGGCTCCTTACAAACACAGCGGCTCCCTGCCAAGGCTCCCCTGCTACATCAGGTTGAATCATGGCATCCCTCACTGCCGTGACCCCCGAACGCAGTCATGCCACAACTCTGTCTAGTTCCATTAACTACACTGCAGTGAGATAGCCCTTCTGTGCCTACCTCCAGAACAGCCTGCCCCTTCCCTAAGCCGGCCGAGAGGCCGCCAGCACACTCCTTCAGGCTGCCTTCAGTTAATCGCACTTTTGTGTTTCAGAAATATCAGTTCTCACTAATTGCCCAAAATATGAACTTCATGGTACACCTTTAAATATGCTGTAGTGGCAAATATGTAATCCTCAAGGCAGGCTCCTACTTGTCATTCACTCTTCTAACCCTGCAGATGCAAGCACAGGAAATAAAGCTCTTAGATTAAGTGGACAATAAAGAACAAAAGCAACTTCTTTTTAACTAGGTGAAAAAAAGGTGAATTAAAAGAACAAGCAGAGCATCTTATCACTCTTTGGTGATCCTGTAGCAGATACATTTATTGCACAGCAGGGCATTAAATGTGTTTTCCTATACAATGAGAAATTATAAATTATGTGTGTCCTACTTCGGGTAGTACTACTTTTCTTATCTCTTCCAGGATTGAGTCAGCTAATAGAAGCCTTAGCATGTCTGACCTTTACTTCATCAAAAAAAATATTACAATTCTGCTGTTTAAATTAAGGATTCTGCCTGCAGCCCCTAACAGTCACTGTTTCAGCCATCCCCAGCAAGCTGGTCAGTAACAGCAGCTTGACACTGAAACAAATGCATGTGAGGCTGAGACACAGCAGGATGACCATAGTTGGGGAAGGAGTCATTTGGTTGGGGTCGCTGAAATGTCAAAAAAAACAACATGAGAAAGGGAACTTAAAATTCTGGTTCTGCCCAAAGGGGAAGCTTAGAGAAGATCAAAGTCCAGGGAAAAGGGCTTCCTCCTCCTCCGCCAACAAGCCTCCTCAACCTGCGCTACATCCCTGATCTTCAGTGCCTTCTTCGGTAGGAAGGGCCTAACCCACCTGGATGGTACCCATCTAAGACCCGAGGGAAGCGTATCCCCTCTCCCAGGTAACCAAATCGAAAGGCCCTTCTGTCTTCCAGGTCTCCGGGTCCTTAACCAGGACCGGAGGCCTAGCTTTCAGCTGCAGTTGGTTATGCCTAGCGAAGTGTTGCACGATTGGCGGGTATAAATTCTCAAAAAACCAGTTTACAAAATTGATGGTAAATAAAGCTTTCGCGAGACGGACATGGGGGGACTCCCCCTTCACAGCCACACGTTGTTGTTCTAAAACCCACTTAAGGCTCCGGTAGGTCCTCTCCACCACGGCTTGGCCTGTCAGGGAATAGGGGATGCCCGTCTTATGCTCTATTCCCCATTGCTGCAGGAAACTTCGCAGTTCCCTGGACTTGTATGCTGGGCCGTTATCGGTTTTGATGACCTTGGGGATGCCCAGGACAGCGAACGCCTGCACGAGATGTCTTTCGGCGTCGACTGCCCTCTCCCCTGTGTGGGCAGAGGCATGGACGGCACCAGAGAAAGCATCCACTGACACATGTACGTAGCTCAATCAACCAAAAGAAGGGATGTGTGTAACATCCATTTGCCACACCTCGCAGCTAGAGAGACCTCTGGGGTTAGCTCCAGAGCTGCAGGATGGGAGCTGATGGGATTGGCATTGTGGATATGTAGCCACGATCGCCTTGGCCTGTACACGTGTGAGCTGGAACTGCCGAACCAGGCCAGGGGCGTTCTGATGGAACTGCTGGTGCCTGACCTTACCTTGACCAAACAGATCTGGGAGGGGGCGCCATTTGAACCAGAGTAGCTAGGGCATCGGCTCTCCGATTGCCCTCTACAATGAACCCTGGCAGGTCAGTGTGTGACCTGACATGCATCACGAAGAAGGGCTGCTCTCAGCAGGAGACTAATATGACTAATTATGAGAGCAAGTTAAATAGAGGGATGCTGGATACCTCTTGAAGAACTGCTTCTTCTGCTCTGGACACCACACTGATGACATACGCTGAATCTGTTACTAAATTGAATGGTTCAGAGAACCTCTCGAAGGCCCTGACGACAGCGTCCAACTCAGCTACTTCTGGAGAACCCTCCACTTTGGCAACATCGGCCTCCCACTGCTGAGTTTGAGGATCCTTCCAAGTCATCACTGACTTGTGGGATGCTCCAGACACATCGGTAAATACTGTCAGTGCCTTCAAAGGGGTTCGACTCCAGACCCTTTTTAAAGACAAAAAGAATTCCTGATGAAACAATTTGCGGGCCGGCCGATCAACAGCAATTTGACCGGTGTAACTATCCAGAGCGAACTGTAACATCTCATTTATTTCAAGCAGTTCATCAAAAGTTTTCTTCTTGAATTGGTCTGACTCTAATTTGATGGGAATGTGCATGCAGTCCAAGTCACACCCTGCCAATTCCCTGATCTTCAATCTCGCTTTTCTGACCAGTTCTGCCACCAGCTCTGATGGCTGTGTCATCCTTTTGGACCTGTGGTGGCTGAGGAAAACCCACTCTATGATCAAGAGGGGATCCCCCGAGCCTCGGTCCTGGCCCTTGATGGAATCATTCCATTGAAAAATGACCCCGTGGAGGTGCGGCAACTTTCCCAAGATAACAAATTTGAATGGCAGGCCCAGTTGGTATCTGTGGGCCTGCCTGGCCGAAATGGACTGCTGGATTTTCTCCAGTGCTGCCTGAGTCTCTGGGGTAAGAGCCCTAGGAGAACTGAGCTCCTCTCCCCCTTTAAACAGATTGAAAAGGGGGGCTAAGTCGTCGGTCAGAATCTCCAGCCAGGGCCTCACCCAGTTTAAAGACCCACACAGGTGATGGACATCTGCCATGGTCTTGATGTTTGTATGAATAGCCAATTTTTGCGGCACAATGGTCCACTTATTTATCTCCAAACCCAGATACTTCCACGGTGGCATTAGTTGAATCTTGTCCTGCTGAAGCTCGAACCCTGCAGCAACCAACACACTGTCAGGTCAAGCGCGTGGGTAAGTATGTCATCTGTCGGAGCACAAATGAGGATGTCATCCATATAGTGATATATTATTGCATACTCGGCAGCTGCACATATGGGGGACAGCAAGGAAGTGACGTACCAGTGGCAGATAACAGGGCTGTTCTTCATTCCCTGTGGAAGAACACGCCAATGGTAGTGCTTGCTTGGGCCTTCACGGTTGATGGCAGGCACCACGAAGGCAAAACGTGGGGCATCGTCCGGGTGAAGGGGAGTTTGGAAGAAACAGTCCTTGATGTCAATGACTGCAACATTCCAATCTTGAGGGAGCATGGTCAGGGACGGCATCCCTGGTTGGAGGGGACCCATATCTTCAATAATATTATGAATTTGGTGGAAGTCATAAAGGAGCCACCACTTATCCTTGTTCGGTTTCTTAATGACAAACACTGGGGAGTTCCACTCTGACAGGGTCTCCACCAGGTTGCCCTTACGTAGCTGCTCCTTGACAAGCTCATTGAGTGCCTTTAATTTTTGTTTATTGAGCAGCCACTGCACTACCCGTACTTGTTTATCTGACTTCCAATTCAGCTTCCAGGTAGGGTGCTCTTCAGTGATCGCTGCCCAAAAAACTTACAGAGCCACTGGTAAATCAATTCAGGCTCCCCACTGGGCAAGAAGGTCCCTCCCCCATAAGGGTTCCATATAGTCTAACATGAATGGGCATACAGATGCCAATTGCCCATCCGACCCCTTAATTTGTACGGTGCTCCTTGATTGTCTTGCCAATTGTAAATCCCCAACACCACAGACATGACCAGCCACATCCTGCAATTCCCAATGTGACGGCCATTCCTGAGAGGGAATGATTGTCACATCTGCCCCTGTGTCCAAAAGACCCTTAAGGGGTATCTGATCTCCTCCCTTCATGAGCTGACAAATGATTTTTGGTTTCTCCCACCCAAAGACCTGAGCCCAGGCCACCGTGCGATGTTCATCTGAAGTTGGCGTGGAGGGCAGTCCTGGAACCCAGGTTAGCTCAGGCACTGGGATGGCCTGAGCGATGATCTGACCCTTGGGCAGGAAGAGGGGAGGGCAGACACAGTACAGCCCCATCGAGAATTGCCCTGGGTCTGATGTCAAGAGACTGGGACAATGTTCACCTCTGACGGTGTGAACTTTGTGTCTCCGACAACTACATACCCACGGATCCGTCCCCAGTTACCTGGGCACTCCGGGCACACAGTCACAAGATGGAAATCGGAGTTCCTCAGATGGAAAGGCTCCATCAGCTGCAGTCTAAAAGGTTCAGATTTGGAAGAAGTTGTTAAAATGGGCATTGGTCGAAGGCACAGCAAACAAGACAAGTCCAGTGAAAAAAGGTCACACTTGGTGGAGGTGGCAGGCGGTTCTCCCTTTTTCCCCTCCCCACATGATGATATTAGACCTGCCTTATTTATGTCTTTGCGCAGGGGGGGACTGCGCTCAGCTCCTAGTTTTTTTGTGGTGGGGGATTCCCTCGAATTCCCTGCTGTTTCTTAAACTCATAAAACTCCCTCCTCAAGGGGCAGTCAGGAATCCAGTGCCCCAGTTTCCCACACAAGTGGCATGGAGAGGTCCCTCTCTGGGCCAGTCCCAGAGCATCAGGATGTGGCAACTGGTTCATTGGGGGGGTGTGCTGCTCTGCTGGTGCGATGTCCATGGTAGCAGAGTCAGCAGCAGCAACGTGGCGAGGCAGTGGCTTGGCCCTCCGTTCAGGGTCTTTCAATGACAATGAGACCTTTCAGGTGCAGACTTCCAGCATGAAGTGTAGAGTGGGAGGAGGGTCCAACAGAAGGCTGAGGATGGCATCCCAGCTAGCATACCTGCAACTTGGGTGTAAGCCCTCCTTGGGGTTGCAGTAAGTCTGGCACCCATGACTAAAGATCTTAAGTGGTGCAACCCAAACTGCCTCCCGCCCCGCTCCAAAAAATTACAAAGAAAACAAGGAAGAGCCCCGCACCAGCCCCTGTCAAAAGGGTAAAGCCGCACAACAAAAAGAGAAAAAGCCTCTAACACCGCCTGCAGTGCAAAGGAATAAAAGAGGACTAAAAAGACAGGGCAGAAAAGAGAAAACACTTATAGATCTGATGGGGGCCGAAAAAAATCCAGAGCGAAGGGTCCTGCGAAGGGAACAACTCCTGGGCATGAGGAGCTGCCGTTCCCGGTCTCCCAGGAGCACCACCCACTAGAATTGGGTCTGCTCCCACTGGGGGTAGTTCTTTGGCCAGTGGGACTCTCGTGAGTCCCATCCATAGGGTCTGCAGATGCCCTCAGGCAAAGCACTCAGGTGAGGCGATGCCAGAAGCTGCTCTCAGGCCCCACGTTGGGCGCCAGAACTGAAACGGCGACTGCTGGTGACGTCCTGGCTAGCACAGCTAGCACCGCTTTCAGCCAATGGGGGAACTATCCCAACTCACTGTCAGGCACAGCGGCTAAGGTCAGCACCCTACATAAAAGTTGCAATGCTGCCTTGTGGAGAGACATGGCCACCTTAGAAGCTTCCACCCGCAGGAAAAAGGAGAGCGCTCTTCAGCTTGTGGCAAATCCAGTTTATTAAGTCCAGGGGGTGCCAGGAACCGAAGAGAGCAAGGGAAGGAGTAGCACAAGATTATAAAGGGGGTGGGAGGCAGGGGTGGAACCAACTTAGGAACGAAGAGGAATCCAGTGGGGAGTGAGGGACAGGGGATTGACACAAGAGGAACTCCAATAATAACAAATGAAGGGAGGGGCCCTGGCCTCAGAACCAATCACTCCAAGCCCTAGACAGAAGTTTCCAGAGAAAAAGGTGGTGGCAAGGAGTGACTGGCAGAGTACCGGGGTGGGGTTTGAGGGAAGATACATTGGTAACCATAGCAACCAGGGAAACTGACAGTTACTGCGATGGGAGGGAGAACAAGGGCAGAACCATATTAAAATAGAGGGAGAACAGAACAAAACCAGCACAACACAATGACATATGTGAGGTGCCCCTTCAACACTTCTAGCTGAGAAGTTTTCATCCCCTTCAGATCACTCCATCTACCAAAATCTTGACAGGGTTGAAACAGTGATGCTGTCAGTGAGCAAGAAAAAAATTTTGCTGCTCAGGGAGCAAAAGAAGGAAAAATAAACCCCACTCTCCCTCCCTAGCTTGTTGCGTGTCTGCGTGTCTGCACCTCCAGCTGCCTTGGTACACTGTGTCAGTGGATGAAAACAGATGGGCTTGACAACTTCACTGGCTCTCAGAGAGACCAGTTGGCAGAGGCAGCAGTCCTGCTTTGGGTAGAAAAGGATAGTTTATTATTTCCCGTTCCCCAAGTCTAAATGTTCACTTTCATTTTGACTACATGGGAAAAAAAAGAAAATGTTTCTCTACTGAACACATAATCTGAAAAATTCACACATCCACCTACTCCTAGCAAGTAAGAAAACTTCACCAGTGTAATCTGGTTCTGCAAAAATTAATCTTCTGTTTGAAAACTAAGACAACCTAAAAGTTATGACTGCACAGATAACCTCTCAAACACGAGGAAGTTTATAGCAAAGCCATGAGCTACAGAAATGTTCCCACTAATTCTTTGCACCACTTCAGAGCAAAAGCGTTCCTGTCCAAAAAACCTGGGGACAATCCCCAAAACTGACAGGCAAGCCCAAATGTCACACTTCTGCTATTCTTCCATAACTTTAGGGTACTCTGGAGAAACTGACTAGAAAGAGATGTAAAAAGCTACAGGGAGACACAAAAACAGGACAGTTAAGAAAAGCATGCAAGAGTGAAAGTGCCCAAAATACCTCCAATGGAACCAGGAGCAGTAGGAGATAGATGTTCAGCCTGCTAAACAGTACAAGATAATCCAGAAGATAATCTAAATTCAGTACACTTTCTTGAACGCACATGAGCAAGTTCACCATAAGGGCATTTGTGGTAAGCTTTGCCCCAATAAGATTGTAAGTGAGTGGGCGATATTTTACAGTCAATGCTTTACATTTCAATGCACAAACTAATGCAGAGTGCAAGTGCCTGTAATGCATCACAGCTACACAGCCCTGCCTCCAGGCAGAGCCTGAAGAGTAATGCTGCCACAGTTGCATCTACCCCAACCACTTAAGCTTGCAGAGCTGTGTGTCAGGAGACTTCAGCATCTCCCTTGTGCACCTCAAGATGCAGAGGAGTAACCTCGAATTGTGTTTACAGGAGAGGTGGCATGGTCAACAGAGTTTGATTTTTTTCTGACCCATAACCACTCCACATCTTTTAAGAATCAGATTACCAAAGATGTGAGTCACCCATGTAAGATATTAACCTGAGCCCAGGTGTGGGTGGTCATGATGCACTGGCAGCAGTCAAGGGTATCAATATTACAGGAGGTTTTGTAAGGCAAAAATGCTTGAACTGAGTAGATATGAAAAATCTATGCTAACTACTTCACTACCACCCAGGTCATTTTCCCATTCATCTCTCCACTTCAGATGTTTCAGAAACATTGCTAAAGCTGCTAGGTCTTGGAGCCTATTCTCATTCATAGTCAAGATCACAGAGAAGCTTTTTGAAATTTCAACTCATGATTTATGTCCAGAAATAAACTTAAATATGGGTAGTTTGAATAGAAAAGTTGGCTCTGAGAAACCATTAAATAGGAAGGAACTGGACAAGGCACTAGTTTTAAGAGCAGCTGTGACATTCACACCAGAAAGTCATCATGATGGCAGCAAGGCAGAGTGCCCTGGTCACCTGTCTCCTGGCTGCACAGGCATTCACTTCCTCCCTACTAAAAAGGACCCTTTGCAAGAAAACACTCCTAAGGAGACATTTCTACTTTATTAAAACAACCATTGTTTACCCTAATGCTTCAGGGCTAGCTTGTGAGTGCAATCTTCTGCACAAACGTTAGCTGTCTTCTGTGAACACAGATTGTATCATTGCTGTAAATACTTCTGAGAGTTTTGTACTTCAAAAGAAACAAATCCCAGCTGACAGCCCAAGAGCATCAGTAGAATTTTCAACAGCAATTACTTGGCGGGTTATTGCAGGTGAGAGCTCCTCAGAGTCAGGACGACCAGAGTCCAGAACACAACAGAACTGCTCAGCTGTCTCCAGCCCCATAGCACAGAACCACTGCAAGCCCAAAGTGAAAACTTTCTACAAAACCTAGAAAACAGTACTAAAAAAAGTTGCTGGGGAATGTCCACTAAGGAGTCATTTCACACCTGTCAGGCCCATAGGCCTCTGAAAGGGCTCACTGGCACAAATTATTCAATCCCTGCACGACACTGCAACTGGGCCAGTGACTGCTTGAGCTAGTGACCAGGGAAAGAAAGCAACACTTCTTCCCAGGATACAGAGACTGTGCTGGAGATGCAACAACCTCCTAGCAAAGGAGAGATGTCAACAGCAAGGTTCACAAGCCTTTCACAGCAGGGAAGAGAGGCAGAGCAGCAGCCAGGACACAAACCAGATGCACTGAGTGAGAGCACAGGAGAGGGAAGGAAGTTCCTCAGACAGGCAGCAAGGCAGGCAGGCCAGAATGGCCAAGCCCACATTCCAAACTCACCCCGTGCTCTGAGGAACACAAAACATGTACATCAGCCTTGAAGGAGGTGGGGGGAGGTGAAGATGGATCTCAGGGGGTCCCATTTTCAAGCACAGGCCATGGTGCTGTGTGTGACGAAGTCCAGAAACTTCAGCCTCGGGAGAGGCTGTTGGCTCACCTCCTCTTACAGCTGTGCATTCCAGCCATCTCAAAGCTCTGTGCCAGAGCAGCCCCGCTCTTGGACACCTCTGCTTACATGTGAACTGTGACTACTGATCCAGCCACTTCACCATGGTGATCCATCTTCCCCTTGCCACCTCAAACAGCCCAGTTGAATACTGATGATATTGCATAGTGGAATAGATGGGCTAAAGGATCCCTGAAATCTCCTGGGAAAACTTGAGTTACATTTTTCATCTGAGCTTCAATTAACAAGTTTGCTGATACTCCACCCAGAACACCAAACTCACAGGCAAATCGGCATTAACCTACTGGGTACTGCAAGGAAGCCTCAACACAACTTATCACTTAATCAGTAGTCTAAAAATAACTGGGGGGGGGGGGGGGGGTCCAGCCACAGAGAAAAATAAGCTATTTAGAAGAACAATGCTCTGGCAATCACCTCACATTCACTGCCCTTGGGAGAAGAAGTCTCCCCTTTATGAGCTGCTCTTGGGAATAAAGGAAATTCATTA